TCACCCACCCACGCACGCACGCACGCACGCACGGGGACCATGGTTTTATTTCATGTTTTCTTACATATTTTTCTTCACAAAACCGAAAATAATTATTATAATAACGCCAAACTTAAGAAAAAATTGATACATTAAAATAAAACGATCCTTGAGTAATCACGAAACCCTCAAAAATGAATACCCTCCTTTGGATTAATAAATTAATACTTACAATTACTGGTACAAAAGGTGGTTTCACACGTCTTAGGAGTAAATCATCCCAAGCTATGTGTCTGAAAAATGCTTGTTTCTTAACATCTTCAGCGTCTCTTTCACTGCTACCTAATCTCCTTTCTGGATTCTTCCTGAGTAACTGTTACAGAGAATATACGTGGATAAGTTTTATATCAGAGAAACAAAAAAGTAGTAAGACAAACTTACTCTTCTCATAATTGCGATTGCTTCCAGAGAAAGGAATCTTGGATATCGTACTTCGTCATTTACAATGGAATCGAATACTTCTTCTTCGTCATCACCTGGGAAAGGGGACTGAAATACATTTTTATGTAATATTCAATATAAATATATTTAAAACAAACTATATAATATATCAAAGAAATAAAATTACCTCTCCAACCAACATTTCAAATATTAAGACTCCAAGACCCCACCAATCTACAGCTCGCGTGTAAGAAGTCTCTGTCAGAACTTCGGGTGCTAAGAATTCAGGAGTACCGCAGAAAGTACCTGTTCTGTCTCCAAATCCCATACCTTCTTTACATAAACCAAAGTCTGCGATTTTAACATAACCTTCTGTATCTAATAGTAGATTATCTAATTTTAAATCTCTGCAAATGAAATACACTATGAAATATATCAACTATAAAAATATATTATTAAATTACTTATATGCACATTACATACCTGTAAATAATACGATTTTCATGTAAATATTGCAATCCGAGAACTACACAAGCAGAATAGAACACAGCGCGTGGCTCTCCGAAAACATCAGCATGTATATGCATCATGAGATCACCGCCAGCTGCATATTCCATTACAAAACATACATGTGCCTAAAAAAATGTATCTTTCTTATTCTCTTCTATTTTACAAAAATGTATTAAAAATACTAGAATAAAGAACTATTATCGGTACCTCAGTTTGAAAGCACGCAAATAAATTAACGAGGAAAGGATGACGCGTCGTATTTGCTACTTCAAATATTCTCTTTTCAGAAAGTAATGACTCCACTTCATCTCTAGCTATAATATCTCCTTTCTTTAAGGCTTTGATTGCAAAGTACTCTCCCGTATTTCTATATTGCGACAGTATCACTTTGCCAAAATGTCCACGACCAAGTACGGAGAGCAGTCTGAAATTCTCCAAGGTCATACCAGTGAGCTGAGAATGTCTTCTTGACTCATAGGCACTATCTCTATATTGAAGAGGTCTAGCTGGCATTTCATATACAACCTGAAAGACAAAGTTCTATTTAAAAGCTAGTTATGGGCAAATGAATGTTTTAATGTATTATTATAAAGTTAGATATATTAAGATTAATTACTGTGTATACAAGAGAATTATATATTAGTAAGTATGTCATAAAAATAAGACATTTTGAAGATGTATCCTAAATCTTAGACGATGGCAGATTAGGCTGTAATATTATATATAATTATTAAATCTTCATGTGATTATTAATTTTGTCTATGTAGCGTATAACTATAATTAAAAATACATGCAACGCATAGAAAGATTCGAAGAGAGAGTAAGGATTAAAGATAAATATATGTATATAAGATGATAATTTATAAAGATAAAAAAAATAATTTACATTATAAGATAAAGCATTACAAGTTATATTTTTTTCTTCAATATTTACATGCAACATACTAAAGCAAGCAAAGCAATGCTGTGTGTATGTGGAGGGTATGTACCTCATCCTCAGGAAACTCGACGACAGGTTGGGGCGAGGGTGTGCGTGGAGAGGGTGGTGCAATCAGCACAGGGCGGGGCTCTGTCACAAGGGGCCTCAAATTTGCACCCTGAGGCCCGCCCTTTTCCTCGTTGTGCAGAAAATCAAACTCCCTTAATGCACTCTGTAACTACATTGCTATCTCTTTAGCTCAAACTCTTTTTGACTGCAGAAAATTTTAGATTGCGCATCGAAATTGTTTAAACTGAAGATATGCATAGCTATATACCTCTAATATATAATTTAAATTTTGGAATATATATTTATTTTATAATAGCATATGATTTATTATAATAGGGAGTTTAAATTTTTGTTGCGTTTAAAAAATTTAAAAGTGTAAATATCTATTGTTTTAATCGACTGTGCCAGAAAACAAGAAATCTATATATCTATTTAATAAAAAAAAAAAGTGTGTAATGACTACAAGACATTCTTTTAAAGCGAGTGCAAATTGAACTAATACTACCTTTTTATAATTGCAGAAATATACAATATCTAATAACATGCCCCATCAAGATATACATGTGCATATATACACATTAGAATTATAATTTTGTAAAAAATATATCTATTATACATTTATTTTATAAACTATTTTGTCCCATAACCAAAAGATCCCAGCTTTGAAATTCTAATACATTGCTACAATCTTCTTATAAAGTGATTAAAAGTAGAAATATCATAAAAATATGATATATGAGAATAATAAATTATATGTATTCGTAATGTAATGAAAACTCTCCATACACATATCATATAATAGCATAAACTCATAACAATTACATAACAATTTGCGACTTAACAATCTTATATCTTTACATCAAAAGCAAAGATTGACAAATACATATAATACAATAAATAACATTCCTAATAATATTACTGTACATTATTATGTTTAATTTTTTATTTAAAAAATAATACTGCTATATACAGAAATACAAGACTTACCTCTTGATCCAATTTAGGAGGTGATGTAGGTGCAGGTGCAGAAGACTTTTTTGGCGCAGTTGGTGGCGGTGGGGGAGGATGCTCCGGAGGACGTGGTAAAGTTGGACTACTACTCGATGTTGACATACCTAAAGGCCGTGCACCACCCAATCCGCCTTTTTCTGGATCAGGCACTTCACCGGGAGTTTCAGGCTTGTCTTCTACTGAGGTATCAAATACAAGTTGCAACGGTTGTGGTCCTGCAAATCAATATATATTAGATAAATTCTTTGCAATATTATGCACTTTACGTAGACAAGTTTTAATCTTTACCTGACGGTGGACTTTCTGAACTTCTGGAATTGTGCAATGAAGGCGCCGAACGTTTAAGCAGCCTACCCCACGTTGCAACATTTATGTTCATTTGATTTGCTCTTGGGAAATTTTTCACTTGCTGCTTAAAGATCTTGCGTTGACGCTGCAATTTAGGCTTTCGTGATATCATCGGATTTAGGAATTTTATTTCTGCGAACAGAAGGCCTTGTGGTTCCAACTGTAGAGCCATGCCGTGTCTAACGTCATCAATGAATTCTTCTAAACGTAAAAACTTGACTGCACAAAGAGATCTCCAATCTTTCCAATAAATGCCTATTTCAAGTTCTCTTGATTTATCAAGTTCGATAGAAAACCTAAAAATTTTTATTGAATACATAATAATATAAAGAAATGGAATTATTCATTTATTAATTGAGATAATACATTTATTAATTAGTATTACCTTTGGTCCCAAGCTTGTTGGGAACATGGACGCCAACTAGTTTGTCCTACGGTTTGGTTATCCAATTTTATAACTGCCATAATATCATCTGAAAACAATATTTAGTAAAGAATTCGAAAATGTTAATCTCAAATTATCGAAAACTTACTGCTTGTTTCGTCTTTCACACTATATGACTTGCTTGAGCTGCGTCCTGTAACACCTTTAACGAAGCTACGTAAATCAGGACTAGCGGGGTGTTCCCTCCTCGTACGCCCAGGCACTTCTTCCGCTAAGTCTTGACATCCCATTAATCTTACCTAAATACATTGCAATATGTAGTACAAAGAAATAATACCGTTGAGTTCGTTAACTGTATGTTTTTCGATATACCTCTAATTGTCCTGTGACAGCTGCGCATCTCGATACTGAAGCTGGTACAGTAGCTTTACCCTCTAAAGGACCGCGAAACGGTTGTAATGATGTATATGTAACAGGAACTGGACTAGCCGACTGAACGCTAGCTAATTCTCTCTTTAATTGAGCTGCGGTACCACTGTCGGGAGGTAGCTCTTGCCTTCTGAGCTCGAGGGACAATCTGAGTAAGTCCAATTTTCTACTGGATTCCGCGAGGCTTGCTTGCGCCTGTAGTAATTTATGATTTATGTAATAGTGCCATTACAAGAGCTAAGATATTTAATATCAGTATAATGTGTAAACAGAGAGGATTATATATACAAGTAAACACACAAATGATGTTCGACATAATATTTATTAACGATGCAATCAATATAGTACATCTTTGTTAATTTTTATAAATGCTCAATTTTCAGCAGAATGTGTTTTTAGCAGTCCTCGTAATTAATTTAGATAAAAAAGCTATTTATAGAGTACATGGAATACTTTAAGAAATGTAAATTAAGCACACAAATTACAATATACAAGTTTATATTGTCCTTAATCGCCATGCAATGGAACGCAATTTTTTTAAGCATACAAATCTTATAACATAAATAAATAAAGTGGAAAGCATTTATCGTCTTGTAAAAACTAAAGAATCAATATGTTTAAGATCCTCAAGAGAGATCCTAAGATTCTAATAAAATTGAATGTCACTCTTTTCGCGATTTGAAGGCCGGATGACGTTCGAGCTCGCTCAATGAAAAAGATCGTCCTCTTTCTCCGTTCTCGAAGTATCTTCGGCAATGCTCGCACGAACACATCGGATTTTTCGAGGGACCTATATGATGTCCAGGCTTTCGAAACGCGCTAATTACTCCTCCAAATTTTGAGGCTTTTAGAACATGTTCAGTTTTTTCTCCATACAGTGTAGTGAAGGGAGACGTTACGCGGGAGGGTATGGTCGAAGGAAGAGGAGAAGGGCTTTTCGATCCAAACGGACCAATATGATCACGTAAAACATTTGTTGGGACATCTCTGTGTATCGCAAACTGAGAGTGTTCCTTTTGATCACTTCTATGTTTCGAATCTACATTAGTCACACTAGATTCCTCTATTTGACCTTCGCTCGTACAACGGACAATCGAATCTCTTTTAACAAATCGTGATTTGTCATCGCCGGATAAGAAACTCCAACCGACTGCTCCGCTTTCGTCGGAATCTTCGGCACTGTCTCCAGACGACCAATTTATCTCATGCTTCTCGAAGTACTCTCTCATCTTCCTGTTCCGTAGCAGATGTTTCCGTTCAATTTGCGGCGATCGCCAGATTTTGTTTTTCTCATTACTTGTTTTTGCCAAAATATCCATTTTTCGTATTCTGTCGCGATCCGCGGTATTGGCGTATTCGAAGCTGTCGCAAGGCGTTAAGCCAGATTTACTGTTGATCAGGGACTCGATATCAGAATAGGTGTCTTTCGACGATGTCATAGTCGAATCGTAATCACATGGCGAAAGAGCCGTGCTAGACGACACTGTAGACCACGGGACGGAATCAAGGTCCCGTATTCCGCTATATGAGCTGAATCGCGAGGGATAAAGGGAACTCAGAACTTCGTCGCTATCGTATCCCTTCGAGCTAGCCAACGAGGGCATCCTCATCGGAGCGTTTCTAAAACTTGCGCGTCGCTCGGCATTGCGCTTTAGAAACGCGTTTGTATCTTCAAATCCTCGCGGCAAGTTATCTGCCGCTTGAGTGTGAATGACTTTAACGTCGTCATTTTCAAAGACGGTCATGGGCGTGCTGCGATCGTCTTCGCTGATCGTGTCTGTACTGGCATCGTCATCAGATCCAGTGCAGTACACATCGATGTGCACCGTTCGTGACTTGCGCTTACTGCTGTCCTCTTTCGCGGATGAATCTGATTTCTCTGGATCAGTAGGAGGACTGGTACTGGTATTCCCAACTGATGCCGGGGGCGATCGGATTTCCTGCTGAAAGAAGATAATTGTCACATTTGAGACTCGTCGTGAACAATCTGTTTCATATGTTTACTACATATTGCAGAATCCATAATGATGACTCACCTCCTTTTTCTGCTCGCTATGCTGATTAGTACCAGTACTAAATTTCCTCCTAATTTTGCTGCTCTTGACAGTCGACGACGAGCGCACCGATTCGATGTCAGTGGTTTGCGATGCCGCGTCCTTGCTTACTGCAATGGCCTTCCTGTTATTCGCAGTCTTTTCTGCGACGCGAGTGCAAAAATGTGTAGTGAAAGCACTCGATGAGCTTCCCTCCGCACAATCCTCGCAGACTTCCGGGACTGTACTGAATTGATGACGTGAAAAGGCATATTGGTGCGGGGATCGATGGTGCCACTGATCGACAGACGGAACTTTCTCAGGATTAGGCTTATCCGTGCCTACGGTGGAAAGTACTATGCTGCACGAGCTTTTACATCGATGATTGTACTGTTGAGAAGAGCGTCGTGCGGGCAAGGACGAATACGTGTGCGGCGAGAACTGTTCGCTGGTGTAGCCAGAGTCAGAAACGTTCGTTCGGCCTCTAGACGAGATAGAGTCGTTATTACCAGACGAACCCAAGCGTGGCAGAGTGTACGATCCGCTTGATCTCTCGGGCGGTGTAGACGTGAAGAGTATATTGCCTCGTTGAAAGCCATAGCCGCCGGCGGTACTACCAGATGACAGGAAAGCGTTGGACGTGGTGGCTGATGTTGATGTCGAGTTCGGTTCGTTCGTATTCCAGCGGCACGTCATGCGGATGCCGCCCGCGTCGGTGGTGGTAGTGGTACCCGGAGGCATTTGCACGGTCTCGGAGGTCACCGTGTCACCGTGGCGGATCGTGACTTCGGCGCGCACAAGCCACGGTGGCACCTGGCTCGAGCTACCGTCGTCCGAATTATCCTGACGTCCGTACATCTTGCGCCTCTCTTCTTCCTTAACCTCCGTCGTGCCTTCATCCACCGCACGACATTATTGTTATCCTATCGTCTCTGCTATCAAGAAAACACGTTCGAGCGATCTGCTCTCTTCTCCTCCGTATCGAAAAGGTTCTTCTTCTTCTTCTATTCATGGATTTGCAGTCTCTCTACTCGAACGTACACAAAATGCCGATTAGTCACCCGTGACCGTTCATCTAATTCTTCATCCAATTTCGTAATATATTGAAAAGAAATCTTATATAATATCTATTTAAGAATTGAGCTACTCGTGCTTCACAATCTCATCCGTGGCGCAGTTTTTCCCGGAAGGATGGTAATACTGCGGTATTGCATCGCCACCGATCTATTTTCGGGTCCCGTATGTTCGAGAACTATCCGAGTGCGTTTCTTTCCACTTTAACGTTGCAAAATTTTAGCGTCGATACCTGAAGATTCAACTTCGATATGACACAGTGATTATCGCTCTTTGCATTCAATTATTATCTACGTATAAAATATGTTTAATGTCTGAAACAATTGTGATGTGTCAGCTCATCATTGCATATTACACAATATGTTTACGATTGTTGCAACTACCGCGGTTTCCATCTCTCGTAAGGCAACAAACTGAGCAATATAGAGCGGCCATGTATATAATTAGCACAATATAATTTTGGAGCAATATGCAGTCGCATTAAAAATATTTTTTGGAATAACATGGCATTTTTCATACGCTCGACGCTCACTGACGTAATAATTGTGCGCAATAACAATGCACGGTCAGGCGAGATTGTACTACGATACAAAAATCGGTGTACGAGTTATTAAAAAATTTTAATTACAATTGTAGACTATTCAGTCTCGATAATTGCCGGTAGTCAAGAGTATTCAAAACATAGACATCTTACGTGAGCGTAAAATTATTTAGCACGTACAATCTAAAAGGCAACGGATCGATTATCTCTGAGTAACTCGCATATGTTACACACATTCAAGCATTCAAGGATCAAACAAGATTCAAACTTCCGCTAAGTAACGGATTGTTTATGACTCGATCAGAGATGTTTGAGCGTCCAGTTAGTATACAAGTATCCTGACAGCTTAAATCGATTCTGAAGCAGACGTCAGTCTTCTTTGGAGTGCAGCGTTCGAAAAGAGAGCTGCGGGGCGACTCCAAACGGGCTACGACCATTGGGCGGCTTCGTGTCAGTCTTCGAGTTCAGATCATAATTAACAGCCACGATTATCCGAACGTGTGATCGATATCTTCTTGAATGTCCACTTGATGGACGTATACATTCCACGGGCGCCTCCTTCGCAGTCGGCCGGTGCACATGTCGTCGGTTTATCGCGGTGCTTACGATACTGGGTGATGCCAGTTCTCCTCGAGAGATGGTAACTAAGCGCGACCCGAAAAGGCGTCACGAGAAACGGTGGGGTGGCGCGGGTATTCGGCGAGCTATTTTGAGAGACGCGCGTATACGCCGCCACCGACCCTCCGGGGTCCACGTCGACATGCATTACGACGCCGACATCGCCCGCGCGATCCGGCTGTCGACAAGAGTCGTTTTCGTACTGGCGGTAGCGGACACATCATCGCTTACACGCGATCTGTCTTTAACGTTAATTCTCGAGATTATTGTAATCAATTTACAGAAAAAACATTTTCCTAATCATTTAACTTAAAATAGCATAACAAAAAATTTTATAGAAAACATAATTGACGTAAAAAAAAAACTTTTGATATATGGCAAATAAAGTAGTGGGAATATTCTTACACATACATTGCGTTTGCTAATTTAAGAGAAAAAAAATTCATCTTGTTGCGCTAGAAGCGGAAATTGTCCTCATTGTGTATATTTTCACTAAGAGAGTAGTCGGACAATTTCCACGTTATTATCATTTCGAAACAGCTCTGTCGACGAAGTGACGTAAATGGCTTCCTTTAACGCTATACACATACAAACACCTTTCGCAGATTGCGTGTCACGCGCAGACTCCGGCTTCCGTTTCCACGTCGACGGATAGCGAATTAGAAAAGAAATAACCACGTACCTCAGTTAGGGCCTTCTTATCAGCAACTTTGGCACTTTGTAGAAGACGTATCACGTTCTTGGCACCTTCTACGACAGCTGCTTCTATTCGTAATCGATGCCGCAGCTCCTCCACCCTCTCCTCCAATGCGAGCTCCAAGCTGGGCTCGTACCTGTCTGTAAAAGCATTATACTTATTTATTCACATTATACATTCGACTAAAAGATCACACTCGCAACGCTAACCATTACTCATACAAAGCTTTCATTTATCAACGGTGCATGATTATCTTCTTACGTAATGTATCCACCCACGCTTTATAGCGGGGAAAAAGTAAACTATTACACGCGTAACGAATATATCCTTCGACGAACAAAGCGCTTCCTTCCAAGAAATGCCATTTACTACAATAACGAACATATGCAACATTGTACTTTTATATTGAATACACGGCACGAATTCCTGAGTGAGATACGAATGTATACCATGTTCTGAGACAGTTTCATTACCGCAGTAAATGTCAGCTTACTGTCTTCATTCCGTAAACCTCACGTTAACAATGAAATGTATACAGCTTAACTATAACGTTCAAACAATTAGATAGAGCTGACGATACACATATTACACAGAATTAAGCAGAACTTCTGATAGCGCGTACATTATTTAAATAAATAACGAAGCATTTTAGCTCTCTATGCAAATACAACTTGTGTCTTTAAGTTTATTAAAATCAATATTGACGAACTAATTATTTTATTTGTAGAAAAAATATTTTAGAGAGAACGAACATTCTTTTAATTATATATCTTCTCCTTCTCAAGTTCGATCAAATATTACATACATAAATTGTTATTAATAACGACCCATGTGTACCTTTATTACTAGTTGTTTCACCATTCGGTGGTGGTGCATCGCCTCGCTGTTGCTGCTGCCGTGCCTGGCGCACCTTCATAATCCGCATACGTAGGAACTCGATTTTGGCGCGGGAATCATCTAGCATTTGTTGAGCCTCCTGTAGCAATTTCTTATCGCGATGGCCACTCGTTAAACTCTGAATCATGTTTTCAGCACCTTGCTTGACCTATCGTGGACATAAAACGTATGACATTATATGTGTATTATTTTATTTAAATGCTATTATATAGTAACAAAATGAACGTTAAAAGTATAATGCACAAAAAAACAACTTTTTAACTTCGTTAAAAAGAGAAAATAGGAAGAGGTATAATTGCAAATAATTAACGCTTGTGCATTAACAAGTGATAACTGCAAAGAGTTCGGGCGCGTTAGTCTAATTATTTCAAATCCCTGAGTGATGTAACGAGAGATTATTTTTAGTAAGAGAAAAACTGTGAGCGACTCACTGCGCTGACTCACGCGAGGCTGATATAAGAAAAGTGAAAGAGAATTATCGAAGTTCTGCGTAATCACTCAGAAAGTGTTATATACAACGACTTTGCGAGAATTATATTCTAAATGTATATTATTATCAAGAAGTTATATATTGACATATAATATATTTTTTTATATTTATATTATATTTATTACTGAAAGAGCCGTTATTATGTTATCGGTATCTCCGATATCGCAATTGCTGCTAAAAATCTTGATAAATGACAGTTCGATATCGCGCAATGTCATTCGCGGATATCGTAAATGTCTGCTTGTAATTTTGTAATGTATATCGTAATTCAATAGTATCTCTTCAGCAAGCGGATTTCTACCTTTAGTTCGATATTGAGCTGCTTCTCCAAGGACAGAAGTCGAAGATCCGTGAATAGACCTTCCTGACTCGGCGACGAAGGCCCCATCGGTGATAGAGGCGTGTCTGAAACAAAAATAAACGTTCACGAAATAAAAGAATTCGATATGACCTGACATATCGGTGATACCGATGTTAAACGCGGCGAACGAGATCTCTCTCGATGAAACGGAACACTGTACGAGCTTCAAAAGTGGTCGTAATTGTCATAAATACAAATATATATACACACACGAGGAAAGTTTGATAAGTCAGTGATAAAGTTTGATAAGTCCATCAAGATTCTTTTTAATTTTTTTTACTAAAATTTCATTTATTTTTCAACATAGTCTTCTTTTAAAAAGTTACTAACTTATCAAACTGCCCACGTATAATACATATATATATACACACACAAGCATATATATTTTTTTTTCTAACGTTCCACGTGCGATTCGAGTCCGCTTTCTTTAGCCCGCGGGTATCCTTCTTCACGTCACGTCCGGATTTTCCACGTTAGTATATAAGCAACTGCCGCCGTACACGTGACCGTTTGTTCATGTCTGACAATCTCCATGATTTGACAAGCGAGATCGTACAGCGCGGTTGGATTCTACTTTCCATCACCTAGTGCTGACATGCTGAAAACGCCCAGACTCCCACGTATTCAAGTCAAGTATATGGGGGAGTGTGGAAAAAAAGTGATGTCCCGCTTTGTTTCAGGAACGCGCCGTTATGAATTTCCCATCGCTTCCTTTTCACCGCGTTCATTCTGCCTGTCTATCATAAACGTCTTCGAGATACAACGGGGAATTATCTGACAATTGCGTCAGACTCAACTCTCGACAGAATCTCTACGTACGCGAATATAGACTTGCGACTACATTTTATACGAATAATACAATAATGCATACATAATGTACTAATATTAGAATGCGTATGAATAAAATACCACGTACATGTAATTCGTACCGGAACGGTGTGGGAAATGCAAGTCATAATTACGAGCGTTATTTCCGTACTCACCGGAACTTTCAACAATTATATTAATCAGTGTACTTTACATAATCATATCGTTACTTTTTGTTATATTTCGTATATTTTAATGACGCAGATGTGCTCTGACGTCTCTCTAATTGCGAATCTTCTTAAGAGAGCATATATATAAATAATTTCTTACGTAATGCAAACCATTTAAACGATTATATCTACTTGAGATATAAATTAATTCTCCGTCTGCAAAGTTCTATAAGGCTTCAAAAAAAAAATTTGGATTACTTTTCAACGTCTCTATTATCAACTAGTTTATAACTCAAATGTTATTTAAAATGAAATTCTAATTATATAAATATAATTTAATAATTAAAAAATATAAAAATATAATTTAATAATTTTGAGCGAAAATAAGGGTAAAATTTGAGAATGCATGTCATTTCGTTTGTGCTAAATGACTCAAATGACTTATTTTTAAAAAATGTCATTTCTTCGAACAATTTATTTTACTTTAAACAGTAAGTTACATCGTTATTTCAAGGCCAATGTGATTCATGTCGGTCGATGTTCGGCGACACACCGTTGCATCGTGTATAACTGCAGGCGCACGAATTTAGCTCGTTAACGCTGCGATGTGGGGCACCCTTTCCTCCATCGAAATATGCCTATTATGCACCCATGCCTGGGCGCGCGGGAAGCTACCGTAAACACGTGCACGGTTCCGCGATTTCTCTGTGCGCGCGCGTACGCACATAAGCACGCACGCACGCACGTCGCGATAAACGACGCGTAGTGCCCGTTCGACGCGAATGGGCGAACGCGGACAGACACGCTTGCACACCGTCTATGCACACGAAGCATGTCTGACGTGTCCGAATAAGGCGATGTGAGGGAGCGAGCAGAGATGCGCGATTTTTCACGCGATACTTCAAATACGTTATATCACCAAAAAAGTATGTTAATTGTTAGCTTAGAGCCCGGGAATCACATGAACGGTTAAACGATCGGCATGAAAACTAAGTATCTATATTTGTAATGTTATTTATGCTCCTCTCTAGCATGAAACGCAAAGGATCGCAAAGTTTCCCGGGAAGTTCTGCAAATACTTACATGTTGAATTAGAACTGAAAAAAAAAAAAAAAACAAAACGATTGCATAGGAGAACATTATTTCCGACATCCATACTATTTCGATACACTTTGCATTTAATAACATACGGAAAGGATAATTTTAGTGAAGTCTCTATAAATTTCTCTATAAGTAGATACAGTCTCTACAAGTCTCTATAAGTAGATACAGATTTTAAAAGTTTTAATAGATTGTCAAAATAATCATTAACTTTAGCGAAATAATTCTTTCAGTGCAGGTAGGTTTCTTTTTACGTCGCACACTTCTCAGAAAAGAATCTAAATCTAATTAGCACACAGGGATTTATTTTTACGGTTCCACTCGCGAGCAAAGACTTTAATTAATTCTCTGCAGAATCTATAGATCTTATCAATTCCTGGTGACTCCATCGACAAACCTCTCGGACAATCGCGGGACAGCTATTATTCCCAGGGATCGCGACAAGTAGATATAACGAGAAAATATCGAGAGAAATGGAGAGCCGAGTCTGCGCGAATATGCGAACCACGTACCAGGCTTTACAATGCGGCGAAAACGACGACGAAGGCGGAGGCGGTATAAAAGAGTTTGCGTGGACAATGCGGCATCGAGAGCTCCGTGAAACCGTGTCATTAGCGCAGCTCGACCGAACACGTGCCCCATTATATTCTGCACTTCTGCCCTTGCTGCATGCGGAGGCCCGGCGACAAAGGCTTTCCTTGTTTTTGATACCGTCAACTGCACCCACCTACCCACCCTTCCTGATCGCCCTTCCGCCTGTCCTCGTTGCTCTCTCTCTCTCTCTCTCTCTTTCTCTCGAACCGCCTCTTTCCCTTTTTTTTTTTTTAAACATCCTTTCATCGAGAAACAAACCGAGAGGGTATCGATGTACACAAGAAAAAAAACGAAAGGGTAGCTGTGTAAAACGCGCAAGGTGGCTGCAGCTATTCACAGCCACTGTCGTGTGTTGGTTCAATGAACTCGCCAGGCGCGGCGCACGCAACCCTTTCGGTAGGGAGAGTGTGTGCACTCTCGAGAAACGGATAATTGCTCTTTGCCTTTTGCTCGCAGCGAAAGGAGAAAAGGACAGCGCAGCGACCGCGCGAGGTGGTTATGCAAAACGTATCGAGGCGATACGCGGCCACCAATGCTCCATCTTTGTTATACTCAAATAAAAGGATAATTAAACTCTTTGAAATCTGGACTTTTTTTTATCATAAGCAAAATTTTACTCTTAAATTTCAGTTTTTATTAAATAACTTTTGAGCTCTAACAGCTCTAAATTCTTTGAAGGAAATCTCACATTAAAAAGCGAAAATTTAATAAGAGTTAGCCTTAAAAAAGTGGCTCAATTTTCAATTTTGAAGGGTGAGATTCACTCCAAAAGCTTTAAAGAATAATATAATAGAGATGAAAAGTAAAAAATTTTGGGGTATGTTAAGTTAGCACCCCAACTATAGTACTCAGGAGTTCTGATTAGAGTTCCCACTTCCTTTTGACGAGACGAAGAGTTCCCTATAGTTAATAACAAGAGTTCCGCTCAATAAACATTTTTTTTACATTTTTTAAAAATGGGGTGCTAACTTTTTATCGAATTTCGAGGTGGAATAGTTCTGAGCAACTTAATAGCTTCAATTTGCGATTGCCTAGAGTTCCTGATATGTAAAAAAAATTTTCGAATAATAAAAAAAAAATTAAAAATTTTTGAAAAATTAATTTTTAGATACAATAGTTCTGATGATAATTCCTGCTTCTTTTTGACGATACGAAGAGTTCTCTATGATTTTTAATGACATATGCGCTTAATAATCATTTTTTAATAATTTTTTAAAAATGGGGAGCTAACTTTTTAACGAAATTCAAGGTCGCATAGTTCTGATCAGCTTAACAGAATTATTTTGTGAATACCTAGAGTTCTTGATACATAAAAAACATTTTTGAAGAATAATAAAGTTTAAAAAAAATAGTAGAAATCTTTGAAAATTTTTTTGAGAGTACCGAGTAGTTCTGAGTTGCGTTTCTTATAGTACTCGACGAGTTCTATCGAAAACTGTAAGGTGGAAAAGCGATTGGACCAACGGTTTGCAAGATACAGCGACATTTGTCAGAAGATCAACAATTTTTAGAATATATCTCGGAAACCATTGGTCCAATCGCTTTGAGCCCTCATACTTTTCGACAGAACTCACCGAGAACTGTCCAGAACTCCGAACAGAACTACTCGGTACTCCCAAAAAATTTTCCGACGTGGGACTTAGAAAAAAAATTTTTGGTCAAAAATTTTTTGGGAGTACCGAGTAGTTCTACTCGGAGTTCTGGACAATCGCTTTTTCACCTTACAGTTTTCGATAGAACTCGTCGAGAACTATAAGAAACGCTACTCAGAACTACTCGGTACTCTCAAAAAAATTTTCAAAGATTTCCACTATTTTTTTTAAACTTTATTATATTTCAACTATAGTTGGAGTGCTAACTTAACATACCCAAAATTTTGGGCTGGACAAAAAAGACTCAAATTGTAGACGAAAGGAGTAAAAATATTATAGCAGACGAAGGGTTAGTATCCTTCAAACTTCGAAAAATGACGAGAAGCATGTAAGCCTTCTTATTATCTTAATATGGAAAATTGCGCAGATCAAAAATTAGTGTAATAATCTCTTAAGAATATACAGAAATTATATACGGTAATTTCTCGATGATTACACACGCAACCGCAATATGCATTAATGTTATCGCGCGATGCGTGCCGATCTCTCTCTCTTGTCGTTTCTCCATTTCATTCATAACTCGGCTCGCGTCAAAGTTGTTTCATCTACACGAACATGAGTTAGCGATATGTTCATAAAGCATGAACGCGCCAGGGAGGGAGAGCTCTTGCACAGTTCGTTAATGCATGTAAGAAGCAATTGTTCCTGTGCGATGATTGTCAGCAACATCCTTATATATTACGGCATTGACTAAAATAATTACCATAACTCCGCGAGAGG